CAACAGAAAAGAAAACCATTGCTTTGGTGCTTTGTTCTTTCAGGTAGATCTTAAATGGGTTTACTCAGAAGTGAGTCTCACTGAGTTCAATGGACCGGGCTTCTTTTATGTCCTCCTCCCTTGCCCTCTTTGAAGGTTCTTCCCAGAAAAACGTAATATAAAAGTTTCACCTTGTTCATGTTAAAATGAGATTATATGATGGTACTTCTCAAATGGACGGAAAAAAAAAAGAAAGAAAAGGGGAAAATATTAGTGATGGTTCCAAAACTGGAGAAAACACTTTGGCCAGTTTCTAGTGTTTATCTCAAACTTGGGACTGGCATTACACACATGCATCCTTCCCTGAATCCCTTCTCTGATTTGGATTTTAATATAAGCTGAAGAAGTCCTTCAGCCGTTTCCTGCCTTCCTCCCAGTCTCCCATAATTTTCCATCTCCAAAACCGTTCCTCCATCATTGCTGCTCACCTTGAATGCTGCTCCAAAAGGAAGAGAAATACAAAGCAAGCGGTCTCCCTCTCCATTTGGATCCAGCCACACACTTCCATGACTGCACACCAGGCATCATGAGTGATGGGATATGTGCTGTTGAAATGGGTCAGCGGCACTGGGAAAATTACATTTCCCAGAGCTCCCTGCAACTGTCCTGAGGCCATCGCACAATGAAAGGCTTCACAGAGGGAAACTCCTTTTCCTTCATCGATTCTCCAGTCACTACTGGAGAAGCAATCAAGTTGATCAGTAGACATACAGGCATATGGGCAGGTAGATGGAAAGGGGGAAAGATCTTGAGATTTACTGTTTGGGGGCAGGGGAGGGACCAGAACCTGCTCTGTTCTTACAGACATAGTTGAGGGTCACATTAGGTTGATAAATAAGCTAAACTATCTTCTGGTCTTTGAGCCCATTTCCAAGCCTCACACATGTTAGTTTCTAAGAGCCAATCCCATCACTCTGCTGTGTGGCCAGTAAAACAAACAAACAAACAAACAAACCACCAGGATACCACTAGGCGAACAGGAGCCTCATTCAGTGCCTACTGTTGAATTTTGTCTGGCAAGATGGTTCAGTGCCTTCTCTCTCTTGAGCCAATGTGAGAGTTCCTCTCAAAACAGATAAGCACCCCTCATTTAGGTTTGGGACTACAGGAAGCCAAAATGTAAAAACTATCCCCTCTTTCCAAAGTTCCTGCCTAGAATGCTCCCACATACCTTCCGTTTACATTGGAGTGGGGCTTCACATACAGAATTTCAATTACTGAGAAAATGTTTCAATATGATTTTCTCATATCCCCACCCTGCTTCCTCCCCACAGCTTTGCACTCATATCTGTGCCATTTTGGAATAGCATTTATATTCTTCTATTGAATCCCTCACTCTTCTTTTTCCTTCCTTCAAAAACAAACGCAGAATGTGAATTTAACAGATACCCCATAGACAGCCTTCTAAATAGATGATGTCAGTCTGTATAATTACATCCGCAGGTAAGTGGAATTAATTAATTTTGAGGAGCTTGTTTCCAAAAGCAGGCAGGGTGCTGCATACAATGGGCATAAGTCAATATTTTCTATGCAGTTATTTTTGTATTTCTGAGACAGACTGTGTCATGTAATATAGCTGTTGCCATAGCAACACTTCGTGACTCATGATGATTATGAAGAAAAGCCCCAGTAAAGGGTTCAGGTTCAAATGCTTTCCCAATCTTGTTGCTGAAATGGGCAACTATTTGTGCTTGTCTCGGGCTATTTCTCCTTTTCTTCTTGATGTTCAGCATGGATGGATGTTCAGCATGACTTTTGAACAGCAGCAGTGGAGTAGTGCTGAACTGGGAAGCTCAGGCACTCATCCTGGTCAGTCCCTGTAGCTACACTTCCCCAGGAGAATCCAAAAATTCAGGCAGCTCTGTTAACATGCTCCCCTCTTTGTACCACTTCTCTTCACCCAGAACAAGTCTCTGAAAAACAAATGGGACTTAATTGCTCATTCCAGGGTGAGTCATCCCCAAATACTTTGCATTACAAGAGGCATAGCACTTACAGATATTGTTGCTAGGAAAATCCGTCCCCTGCCTCAGCTACTGTCAGGCCCAAAGGAGACAGGGAAGTCTGATGAATGTGGCAGACGTGGTCCCTCTGTCTGCTAGTCAAAAAGTACCTCCATTTTGACCTGTGCAGCCTGGCTTGAGTACTGCTGGTAAGCACTTGTAAAGGAAAACATGGATGATAAAATGTTGTGAACTCATTTATTGGTTGCAGATGTTCCCTTTCAGGGAACATTTGTACAAAAATTCTTTCTTTCTGCAGATGGGAAACAGGCAGGCGTTCGTTGACATCTCTTATAAACAGCCTGCTTAACTGGGAACGAGTCGCTTTAGGAAAGCAGGCAGCTCACGCTGACAGAGCCTAATAGACTTTGTCGTAGTCATAACCCTGCTACTAATGAATTCATTTCATATTCTTGTAAATGTTCCACAAGGGTTTTGTTACAGAGAAATTCTATTAAATTGCTATTAATTGATGCAAGCCCAAGGGTCACCTTGTAGATCTGGAAGATGCTTTGTAAATTTTGGTGTGTGTGTACAAAACAAGAGATGAAATGGAACCTCATTAATATGTGCGTCATGGTAGTTTAGGACCAAGATGGCATACTGCGAAAAGCAGTGGGTCATTACTTTGGCCATTCTCATTTGCTTTGATTTCAGAAACTCCTTTGACCTCTCAGCAACACAGGATAGGTCTATCCAGGGAGTGTTTTCCATACTCTCAGAGGCACTAATTGAGGGCACCAATTGCCAACAAATCACATTAGCAACTGCGCCGACATTGTCAAGAACTCATGATAGTTCACATGGCATGGCTCAGAAAGGTTAACAGAATCACAGGATGGGCAAATGCTCAGAACCCCTGCAACAGACCACCTTTCCCCAATTCCTTTCTGGGTTTCTTCTTTGGCACTGAATAAGGAGCATAGCAAGTTTCTAGTCAGACAAAGAAAGAGAGAAGCAGTAAGAGAGGCTGAACACTGTAGGCAGGAATCATGTTTGCCATCAATGCATCTAAGTTGCTACAGCAACCAGGTAACCTATCAATGACCAGCATGTGTCCTTGCATGAACACAGATGAGGAAATATAGATTAGGCCCTGATTCCCCTTAGTTGCCTAAGGGTGCAGAATTATCATTTAAATCTCATGTATTTGTTTCCATCAACAAACTGGTAGAGTTGGTCAAGATGCCTCCTTAGCTCTCTTTCTTGCCTCTAAGTTTTGTTAACAGAGCTGGCAGTGTGGATGCCTGAAGGCAAACCTCTCAGAGGACCTGCAATAGATTGTACTTGGGCATTACCATTCTCTTGATGCATTCTGCAGGGATGACCAAAGAAGGAGGCTATTATCAGTGATGGGGAAAGATAACTAAGATTTCTCTTTCTTCTCCTCGAGGAATCAGGAATGAGAACAATGGGAGCAAGATAAATGTTTATAGCATGCCCTCTGTGCATACATCTGACTTAGGAGGTTTTGGAAAGGAGGCAGAGATCTAGACTTGATGGCACTATGGTTTGCTCTAGACATCTGATGAGAATAGGAATTTGTTGGAGTGTTAAGGCTAAAGTTCCTCATCTTATACTTTGCCTGTATATATGTATAAATAAAGTCTCCAGAGAACTGCTTCTAAGGAAACTGAGAGCCAGGTAAACACAGGGCCACTAAAATGTCTTGACACTCATAAGTGAGATAAATGCATAGAGAATATTACTATTTATTTATATTTATACCCTGCCATTCTCCTCAAAAGGACCCAAGGCAGCTGGGCTTGTCCACAAATGAGTTAAGACAAAACTGCATAGACAGAGCATGGACAGAGTTCCTACTCCAGTCCTCTGAAGATGCCGGCCATCGAGACTGGCAAAATATCAGGAAGAACAACCTTCAGAACACGGTCAAAGAGCCTGAAAAACCCACAACAACCATTAGATCCCAGCCGTGAAAGCCTTTGCAAATACATTAAAACTGCAATGAATTTCAATTTCTCTCTCCTCCCCCCCCCACTGCCAGCAAACGTATACTTCACAGTCATTTGTAAATTTACTGTGCAATGAATTTCAATTTCTCTCTCCTCCTCCCCCCCACTGCCAGCAAACATATACTTCACAGTCATTTGTAAATTTACTGGTGACATTGATTCAGCTCGCTCCTACCATTAAGCAAGACAATTAAGCAAGACATCTCGAGTGGCAGATGCTGGGAGGTGGCAGCAAGGTATTGGAGGAGAGAGTAGTGTGCCTTAGAGCCTGCCCTTCATCCTGAATGCCCTTCTGTGTTCAGGTATGGTGGATGGTGTCCTATTTTCAGTCTCGTGTAAAAATTCAACAACAGGTTTAGCCAGTTTTTGTACATGTGATGCATTCCTCTCCTTTGTCTTGGCTTGCTGGCAAATACCTTGAATCAGTCCTTCAGTAGTTTCATTTGGTGCTACACATGAGTTTTGGTTACTAGGTAAAGGTTCCCCTTGACAATTTGTCCAGTTGTGTCTGACTCTAGGGGGCGGTGCTCATCTTTGTTTCCAATCTGTAGAGCTAGCATTTGTCCGAAGACAATCTTCCGTGGTCACGTGACCAAAGCGACTAGACACAGAACAGCGTTGCCTTCCCACCGTGGTGGTACCTATTTATCTACTCGCATTTTGCATTTTGCATGCTTTTGAACCGCTAGGTTAGTGGGAGCTGGTACAAGCAACAGGGGCTCACTCCAACACATGGATTCGATCTTGCGACTTCAGGTCTTCTGACCTTGCAGCACAGAGGCTTCTGCAGTTTAACCCGCAGCGCCACCACGGCCAGTGACTAAATGCCCATTTGAATAAGGCTCATAGAAGTTTGACAGATCTCATGGGAGACATCTTGCCTTTTACGAAGTGTATTTTTACAGAGGTAATGTTTATTCTGTTTTGAAAATAATTTTAAAGGAGTGCTACAAATGAGTTACACAAAATCACTGCAGTAAAATATCAAAAGAAGGTCAAGGAAGGTACAGGAAAATTTGTGAGTGTGATGATGATATTACAGCTTTTACATGACCAAGGTATCCTTCTTGGACTTTACGAACAGCAAAGGCTTATAGTTGAAGTTTTAGAACAAAGGGAGAACTCCACACACACAGTAAGACTGCTAAGACTTTGCCTTTCTCAAATAAGCTTTCTTCCCACAGCAGCAAACGGGCAAGACACCTGGAGATGGACCAGAAAAAAAGAATGGGAAATAAGCTGATGGAGACTCTGCCAGAATATTGAAAATTGAGGTAAGCATGAAGAAAAAGTGGCATTTCATCTCACTCACTCCTCACATTTCTCTGCTGGTCTTCTCTAGAGTGTGACTTCCTGAAGAGAAGATCATCCTCTATCCAGGGAGGTTCTCTACATCAAGGGTCCCCAACTTTGGGCCTCCAGATGTTCTTGGACTTCAACTCCCAGAAACCCTGGCCAGCAGAGGTGGTGGTGAAGGCTTCTGGGGGTTGTAGTCCAGGAACATCTGGAGGCCCAAGGTTGGGGACCACTGTTCTACATCATTGAGAAGTGAGCACTGATTTTCCTGTATTCTGAATCATGTGGGGAAAAAGCAGAGAAAACATTACTTTTCAGAAAGTGGCTTTCCATGCATAGAGGGAAATGAAAATGTCTGAGGAGGAGGTATGTTAGCTATGTCACTCTGTTCATGTGTTTACCCGGATCCTGACTGCATAAGCGGAGCTGGAAAAAAATGAGCTAATGAAAGGGGAAACTACAGGGGGGAAATGTCTCATAGGACTAAGGACTGGAGTGATTGTTGTTGATAAGGAACATCAAGAGGAGATACAGGAGTCTCAAGTCATGGGGATTTTCATTTGAGTGAATGAGAGACAGAAGCAACCAAAGTTTGAAAAAGTTCCTCTTCTTTATTATTATTTTTTTACACTATCAGAATATCCCAACTGGCATGGAGAGGGAATTATAGGAGTTGTATCCCCCCCAAAATGCCTTTCCAAGCTCTGGAAGCAAATTATATAGAAGAGGAGTAGGTGAGAAGCTAGTGATGGAAGCATAGAGCTGATGAATGGAGTAGCTGTGTGGAGAAAGAGGGGCAGGCACACCTGAGCGCTAGGCTTTCTGTACAAATGACTTCTCTTTATTAAATGTCTGGGCATCATCTAGTGCAATTACAGTTTTATAAGAGGAGAAAAGACTTTTGTGATTGCCTGCCTCATGGGCTACACCAAACTAGGATATATACAAAAGGCAGGAACATTCTTTATATGTTACAACCAAATGACTGATTAGCCACCTTCTGCAATCCCTGGACTTTTCAGCATCCATTCTCTTCTGTTCTTAAGAGCACCATGAGCCATTAAAGGGTCATCAAGTTTACTTCACTTGTGAGGTGCTATAATAATGTCTGCTGTAAAAGTAGACGTGATTGGCCTATGGTTCTACGGATTCTTTCAACCTCAAATTTGGAGATTCATATCACGTTATAGTCCTGCTTATAAAAGTCTGGTAAAGTCTTTACTAAAGAGGTCCTTAATACCTTGGATAACTCAGTCCCTAGCAGACATTCTATGCAAGCTGCTAAATATTTCCTTCAATAATTTTAGCATGCTGTCGTCCCTCAATGATCGGTTTTGTGGCAATTGGTTTATCCTTCACTGCCAGATCGGATTGATTCATCCACACAAGTTCATATTGCTATCTTCTTCCCCTACAATACATCCCTGCCATGTTATTCATATTCACATCATGCTACTCCACATTATGTGGGTATTCCATGTGCAAGTGGTGTTTACTACCCCTCCATTTGGGGGTTATCATGTTATGAGGGTGATGAAGTAGGGAGAGGATTTCTGCGACGTTTCACATTTTCTCTACAACTTACATTTGAATTCATCAACAAGTTAAAACATGTTTATGAGTAACCTCGCGTTTCTCACCAGATTATTTATAAACATGTTCCAACCCACCCATAAGCTAAGACAAATGTTGCCGAAAAAAAAAAAGACATTTCATAGAAATCTTTCCCCTAGTGATGAACTTTTTCGTAGGTGGGGGGAGAATCTCACCAAGTTTTAGGATCCCTCTGGGATGACTATTTTAAAAAACACAGAGTACAGTAACAGCATTTGTTGAGGTTATTTTTAAAATACCAAATAATTATAACAACTGGCTTAACTGTCCCTCTTTTAAAGCATACACACACATATACGTGTCTTTGGAATCTACATCTGAGACATATGTCTATACTGAGGTTTATAATATTATTTCTTCAGTTTACTGAAGAAGAGAAGGAGCCAACATGTTGGTGCTTCTGAGGTTGAAAGCACAACTGGGTATGTGTGCATGAAGTAGCTGTTTCCACTAGTATTTCTGTCTTGAATCAAGTGATGATAATAGGGTTGTTGTTGTTTTATTCTTTCTGCAAACAATTCTTCTTAGGGGATTCTTTTATATCTTAACAGGCCTCCTCCAAGTACCATGTCTGGTTTAAACAAGTAACTCCTTTTGAAACAATAGCGATCCTTGTTTCTAAACAAAGTCTACCTGATCTGGTATTTTATCTGAGGAGTTTACTCAGTCTCTTGGAGAATGGCTTGAATTCCTTCTCTGTGCCTTGGGGTGGGGGGGGGAGACACATGGTAGACCCTTAGGGAGCCATTCTGGGGGGTATGTTAGAGGAGGAGTCTGAGAACACACAGGGGAGCTGAATATATTAGGATTCAGTTGAAATAGAGGCCAAAATCCTGTACCAGAAATTATGCTGTCACAAAGGTGATGGTGATCACCAACAGGGGAGATTGTGAGTAATTAAAGAGTTCCTCCTTCAGTTTTGGGACTTGCAGGACTCACCCACAACTTGACCACAATCTGTTTCATTGCTGGAAAATTGTGTATATCCCAAGACGGAATCAGGAACTTGTTAATCCTCTGCAATCTTTCCTTGCCAGTGACATCATTGCCTTCATGTCAGTGTAACTGACACTACAGATTTTGGTCAGCAAAAACTTAAATAATCCAGTCTTGTCTAAAGTAATGTTAAATTATTCAATTGCTTAGAGAAGAATTAAATAAACATTTTTAAACATGTGTGTCCAATTTGATTTAAACCACGGACCACCACTTTTTCCCTTATCCGAACCTGAAAATTGACTGCAGCAGTGTCAACTAGACTCGGGCATTGTCTCAGCTTAAGTAGTCATTAGGCAAGTATTCCATGATTAAACTATAGTGATTTATTACTGAGAAGACCAGCCTTTTGGCTTTATGATCAATGCTAAGTGCCTTAACTTTAACCTTTTTACAGTTTACAAGCTGTATGCCGATGGCTTTTTGACTTTAAAAAAATGGCAATGCATGAAGATACCATATTTAGGTGAGCTTAGAATAAGCTGCAAACTGTTAATTGTACAGTAACTATTCAAATGAAATATTCCTTGCACATGAAATTCACGGTTCAGAAGAAGAGCAGCTTTGGCAATGTGAAGAGTTGCATCTGCTCCCATGAGAAAAGGGAATCATTTTTACATATCAAAATGCATGTGGAGTTTTAAATTTGCCCATTAATTAATGATCTTGACATGATGTTCTCCAATCACGTGAATGTTGATGATGCATATACTTTGCATGGAGAAATGAACTTTTCTTGTTTGACATTCTTTTTGCCTTTTCTACAAATTCAATAGAATATATGGATTTCTTGACAAAGGGTTAAAATCATGAAAAGGGTGCTGCTGGTTGACTTATCATTAGTCCCATGGCAAGTCTCTCTTGAACCTTTGTGCCTCTACAGGTCTCTTCTGGTTCTCCTGTGTAGCATCTATGGACTTTTGAAGCTAGGTGTATCTCATATTGTAAAGAGTTTCTAATTCAGGAAGGTACAAGAAAAAAACCACGTCCTTCCATAATAGTATATAGATGATCCAGGAATAGTCACTGGCAATTGCAGGGGAAGAATTCTGCTTAGTGGTGTGGAGTTGTGATCTGATTTTTGTTTGCAATACATGGCATGCATCTGTAGTGGGAGTGATGCTGTTTGCATTATTACTAGTAGTATATTCAGTCTGCTAGTTAACTGGCAACACAGTTCTAATAGCCTGTTCAAACCAATTTAACTGCCCATTAGTGAACCCCTCCAGAGAGACAACAAAAGATGGCTATGTCACCTCAGCAAGGTATGAAGCAATGTGGAACACTTGGCATAGGGCACACATGTTATGAACCATGTCCTCTGGATGAAGGAGGAAGAAATATTGCTTGGATGGGCAACACAAATCAATTTCATAGAGCTCTTCAGAATCCCCCAGTGAGAATCTGAGTCCCTTCAACTCCCAATAAAATGATTTGGCATTCCCAGTGCCTGGAAGCTTATAGGCACCTCTTGTGACATGACTTTTTGCTCTGCTAGGTGTGACCTTTCATGCTTGCAATTTCATGCTCAAGCAAGCAGGTTAATACTAAATTCAGATTAGAGAAATAGTATTTAAAGCATTTTGCCAGAAGGAACAGATTGCCCAGTTTGGAGATCAGATCCTGACCTTTATCAACCATTTACAATTTTCAAAAAGATGGAACTTCTAGCATGGTTTCTTGATTACCATCATCCTTTCTAAAAAGGAAAACACTCCACCTGCAGCCATTGTTCTCCCAATCATTTCTTTATGGCAGAAGCACTGGGGTTTATTAACTATACCACATGCTGTAAAACACAGACTTTGGCACCCAGACCAAAAGTCAAGGAAGTTCTTATTGATACATAACCCCTACTGATACTGTGACATAAGTAGGTTAGGCTGAAAATTACTTTTGAGTGTTTCTGCAGAGAATGCAGAAGATAAACTAAAGGCATGTATAAATGAAGAACTATCTATCTGGTTAGGACAGTTCTGAGTCAGAATATTTGGCTAAGAAACCACATTGGAGATATTTCTGCTGCAATCACTACTTTTACAGTCTGGAGATATAGCAAGAGAAAAGAATGCAATGACAGAACACAGGCATTTCTTCAACCACATCCACCAGAAATCAACTTGGGATGAATTCAACATGGATCAAAACATTGGATGTCAACATTTCTACAGGCATTACTATTTCCTTAGTGCAGAAAACAGGAACACATGGTGTGAGACAGCAGGCAGGCAAAAATAATACCAACTGGGCTGTCTCCTCGCCTGCCAAAGGGCCATCAAACATCAGCTGCTGGATGCAGGCTTCTGCTTGAGTGGAGGAGGTAGTTCTTGTTTTCAGGGTGTGGTTATTAGCACATCCTTTGTATATTTAGAAATGTTATAGATGAGTTGTTGCCGAAAGGTGGGACATAACTCTACTAAATAAATGAACAATTAAAACACAGCCCTTATACTCTGAAACAAGAACCAAGACAAGGTACATTCTATGAAGCAGGCAGTTAGAAATCTCATCCGCTTGGCCTCTTGAATCATGTTACCCAGACCTGCATCTGGTCACTGTTTTTATTACTCAGGAGGAGTTCTTTAGGTGAGAACCGATATTCCACAATCATCACTAAGCAGTAACAGTTCATTTTCACAAGACAGTCACAACCCCAAGAGGAAAAATCAACAGGCTTTTGTCTCTCGGGCATCAATTCATCTGCCAGCCCTACCTAGTGCCAGAATTATTTATATGAGCTACAGTCACTGTGATCTAGCTATCACTGAATAAAAGCAGGAATTCCATCTCTAAATAGTATCACAGCCTTTAAAGGAATAGCACTCTGCATATCAATGCTTCATATCAACAGCTTGTCCTGTCTGTCATGCTCCATCGCATGGATTCCCAAGGGTTAGATTGCTGCAATGAGAGCTGCAGCAGTGAAGAAACAGAAAGCTAGCAGTTGCATACCAAATGGCACGGTCTCCCTCAGCCCTCCACACACCTTCCTTATCTTCCTTGTATACTTTCAACATATGATCCCCAAAGATCCCCATCCACTGGTAACCGATGAACTTCTCTGAGGCTTCCCCTTCCTGCTTCACCACAACATGCCCTTGCAGTGTTATTGCCCGTTAGAGAGAATCTAACCAAAAGCTGTAGAGAGGCAAAGCAGGGGCCGGCTGCAGAGAAACAGGTCTCTGTCCGTGGTGCTGAAACTCCTCGGCAAGGAACGGCGGTCAGCAGATGGCGCCCTTCTATGTTTTTTTTAAAAAAATTACAGTGTTTTTTTATTCACCAAACTCTCCCCAAACTGATTTCTCCAGCACACCTCTGATCAGGACGCCAGACGTTGAACTCGACAAACCCCCTCGCAAACAGTGCGCTACTATTTTCAAAGCAGATCCCTTTCTTCCCCACTTCCACCAAGTCCCTTCTGCGCATTATTCCAAAGGGAGACTCACCATATTGACTTCTGACACCATATCTATACTGGCGATCTCGATTCGCATTCCCACTTCAACGGGCGAGCCTGAAAACCGAAACAAATGGGTTTGTTTTTGGTTTTTAAAGGGCTAGCAAGCAAATGAGCTGTACACCCAAGCACCCATCACGGCACCATATTACAGCCGTGCGGGGATCGTGCATACGTGTCCACCGGCTGAAAGGTAGCCTGCTGGTTTTTTTTCCTGTCCAAATAAGAGTTTTGTGAAACTCAACGACTCACTATTCGACCCCTGTTAACGGATCCAAATCAGATCCGGTTATACTGGGAGCAACTAAATATGCGTGTGTGTCAGGGGAGAGATAAAAGAAACTGGTGCGTCGTGGGGGGGGGGAGGAACGAACCGGTGGGGGTCATTCTCAGGATGATGAACATTCTTGGACACTACAGGAAACGCAACGCAACCCCTCCCATTATTGCACATCGTAAACAACTCCGAGGAGAATTACCTCCGAAATCCGGCCTCAGGCGAATGTCGTATCCTTTGAGCAATCTGTCCACTGTCTCTTTCACGTAGGACATGTTGCTGGGTTCATTCATGCTGAGGAGGAACAAGGCAAGAGAAGAGAGCTGAGAAACCAGCACTGCGTTAAAAACGCTAACCGTCTGCCGCCCCCGCCTCCCCCCAACGCCCCCCCTCAAAACAACCTCCCAGGAGGGAAGCCACTCCATTGAGTTGGCCTCTCGGAGGATGGGATCTCTCCTTCCACACACCAGCAGGCGCGCAGCCACACGTCCTCTTGCGTCCAAGCGCCATCCTCACTCACCTCTTGGCAGAGCAGATCCCGGCGATCATCACCACAGGGAAGAATACGATCCCCACACACCATCGGCGCTGAACTGCCCACATGCCTTCCTCCGTGTGGAGAGAGTTCCTGCCTTCTCTCTTTTTTTAAAAAAAACTCCCTTTCCCTCCCCTCCTTTTTTTTTAACACCCCAGCCCTCCCCCCTCCCGCGCAGATTCAAGGAATGCAACTTTCAATCCACAGGCAGAGCTCTCTGATGCCAGAGAGAGGGAGAGAAAAAGAAAGAGCGAACGCGACGCATGCGCGGAGATGGCCCAATCTATCGGAGACACCTTTGGCGCCTCGGTGACAATATCGGGTCAAACGATCAGCCGCTGCGGCGGGACCTTGAAAAGTTCCGCGGCCCGGTGGTCCCGCGGGATCGTCGGGCGACGGCAGAAGACGCCAGCCGGGTTGGGCCGGGATAGCACAGGACAGCGCTTGTCCCTCGCCGAGGAGCGGGAGACTGGCGATCGCGCCACGGAGCCGTGAAGACGGGGGCTTTACTCGCCCCATGCCTATTGTGTCCCCTTCCTCAACACTAAGCCCCCTCCCCTCCTCATTTTGGGCATGACGGCCCCTCCAGTCCCGAACCAAAATCCAGAGCCTCTCTTTCACCTCTCTTCCTTACTATTGCCCCGCAGCCATAAAGGGAAGCACGCGTAAACCGATTGCCTTCATCCAGCGTGGCTGTGGAAAGGGAGACCTATGGGGCGATTCCCACGCATCGCTTGGGCCACTCTCCCCCCCATTCTCCCCCCACCCCCGCCGCCGCGCTTCTAAATTTTGAAAACAAGAAAACGTTCGGGGGAAGGTGGAGGAAGCAATCAAGCAGGAATTTGGCAAAAACAATCTCCCCCTCCCCTTCTCCGACTTGTTCCTTGCCAGCTTCCGATTAAGAGTCGGAGAAAGGGGGAGGGGAAGCACACACATCCCATCCACAAAGCCCCCAGAGCTTCCCTCATATTTTGCCACTTTTGCCAGAAGGGCAGGGAAATGTGCAAGCCAAAGGCCCTTTGCTTTTCTCCCTTGATCATGCCCTGTGGCAGTGGTTCCCAACCTTGGGTATCCCGTGTTCTTGGACTGCAACTCCCAGAAGCTTTCACCAGCAGCCATGCTGCCCAGGATTTCTGGGAGTTGCAGTCCAAGAACACCTGGGTTACCCAAGGTTGGGAACCACTGCTCTATGGCCACTGGAAGGAGGGGGAAGACATCAGGACCAAAATGCAGAAGGAGAGTGAGAGACTGCCACCTTAAATCCCATTCCTCAGGGAAAAACAAGCAATACATCAAATAAAACAGGTGCTGGTACTGCTGCTCCCCTCAATAATATTTGGAGGAGAAGCCCCCCTCACACATCTGCACTGTCCCTCTGGTGGTGTGATAGTGGTGGTTGGGCCCCTGTAGCACAATCCCCTATTTCACCCAGTAAGTGAGGGCAAGGGAGCAGGAAGAGGTGATGGCCGCCCCTGGATTGTTCCATTCTCTCCAGAGCCACATGTCTCTGTGAGAGGAGGTGTGGAAGAATGCTCCCTCTTTCCCCCTGGATGGGTTTGTGAAGTCAAGTCCTTCCTGTTGCATTCCTGGAACAGAAGGGAAGCAACCACTACTTGCCCAAAAGAGAGAGAAAGGCTGAATAACTGTGGAGCCCATGGTTGCATCTCTTCAAGGAGCAGCCACTGCTTCCTAGTTATGTCTTCTTCTCCTTCTCCTCCCTCCCTCCCTCCCTCCCTCTCTCTATCTCTCTCTCTCACACACATTTTCTCTCATTTTCTCTCCCCTTTAGTTACAGAATAGGAATGTCTGGATCCACTAGGCAGAATCCTCATCCAGAGTGAGTGAGGAGATGAGGTCACTGCTTCTGCCATGACATATGCTGGACCTCCGGGGGAGGGGAGGATGAGTCACATTTTCACTGTAGGGACTACTGTGGACCTACTCCACCCTGAAGCCTCAACCAGTGAGGGTGAATAAGTGTGAGGAGCAGCTGCTTTCTTCACTTCCTTCCAGACTTGCCCAAGTTAAGGTTACCATTCGCTCTCTGAGTGATGAAGCTGCTTTTTCCTCTTTGGAAAGAGAAGTGTCACATGGGGCCACCCCAAGACATTTTGCAGCCTGAGGTGGAAAAAGAGACATTTTGCTCCTCCACACACCATAAGTCAAGGCACATAATATTCCAAAGTCAGTCAAATAATTTTGGCACATGAGATGACAATTAACAAGGAACTTCTCTTTCTTGAGTCTGCTTCTGGAAGTGGCTGCCTCAGCTGGCCAAATTGTAGTGCTGTATCTGTTGTACCTCCTATTTTTGGAGGTGACAGAGCAGGAAGAAATTGGGCTTAGCTATCCAGAGGATGACAGGAAGTGAGCAAAAAGTGGCAGCTCCTTGGAGGCATAGCCATTGTCACACACCTACTTTTAAGAAAGGGTATGGCCATAGATGGGGTGGTGTTAGGTAGGCCTGAGTAGTGAGGGAAGGGACACCTTTAAGAGCAAATGTACCTGGAAGAAAGGTATCTGCATTATTATTCAGTGAAAGTGCTCTGAAAGGTCATGCTTTTCTAACTAGAATAATACTTGTGTGACATCATCTTGATTCCAACTTTTCTAGAGCCTCCTGGAGATAAAGTACTCAGAGGTGGGTTACCATATCTTTTCTTCTGGTGGCCTCAAAGACTGTGCAACTTACGAAAGGCCAGTTTTTCTCCTGGGAAGCTACCTTGGGGAATGTAGATCTGATCCCCTGGCTCTGCAGCCGTGTAGTCCAGTGCACTGAGCTAATTATAACACCTGGAATCCCCAGTGTGGAAGGGTCCATAGCCATGCTGGTTGAGAGTTCGGTTCCCAGAAGATAACTTTTTCCTTCAAAGGTCCCTGTACAGAATGGGAGAGAGGGACCGGGAAGCACTCCTTTTATTATTCTCCTAGCATGTTTTTACCTGTCCCATATGTTTTCGAGAGCATAGATGAAGCGTGAATCTCTTGAAAAGGTTAATGTACTATTCCGCTTCCAAACATGGTGGGAATAATAACGAGGAGGTAATTGATAACAAGTGAGTTGACTCTTGCCAGGAAGCCAGATGTTTCACTGATCCATGACCACACATTTTCTGCATCAATGTGACGGCTTAGTTTTCTCTCCCTCCCAGAGCCAAAGTTGAACAGGAAAGATAATAACTAGGATCCATGGTGGTACAGTTGATACAGCTGCATGAAAATTAGTTGTGGGAGGAAGCATATGCAATGCTTTGCCAAATGGTGGAGACAACTAGGAAGTGTTTATCAGCACTTTCTAACCCTCTCAAAGGTATCTGGAAGACTACCATAGAAAATTAGCTGTGCTTACTGAGGGATTCTGGGAGTTGTGGTGACATAAAGTAATGTTCTCAAGCACTGTAAAATTTGATAAGGGAGCCCAGTCCAGTAGTGCTATTCTTATGTCCCCCTGAGGTACCAGAACAGGTTTTACTGAAATTCATACATCATGTACTGATAACAGTACACCTGCATGTCTGAAGGCCTCAGAGGTGCTTGTGCTTAGTCTCCACATGATTTCCGTTTTTCAGATTTTAGGGCAGGAATAAGCAACTTATGGCCTTTCACATGTTGTTGGATTGCAGCTCTCATCCTTTGCCACTGGTTATGTTGGCTAGGGCTAATGGGACTTGTAGTCTAATACCCACAGGGCCAGAAGCTGCCTACTCCTATTTTATGCCTAGACCTTGTTAGCTTCAGCAGATGGTGCCATTGTCTGGCCACTTTTTTGGAAAATGGTGATGCCAAACGCTCAGCTTCCATCAGCACTAACCACCACAGTCAGTAGTGATTGATGATGGGTGTTTTGGCCCAGCAACATCAGGAGGGCCCCCTCCCCCAGTCTGAGGGGCTGAGGAAAGGGAGGCAGCCAGTATAGTCTGTGGCAAAGTGGTAGCAGGACTTGGCAGAGATGGACAGACTCCCTAGAAACTGGATACTTCTCAACCTGTTATTTGATCCTGGAAATTGAATGAGCTTATCAGGAGGTCCCTTCCCTTCCCCCAAAAGCCAGGGACTTGTTGTGCAAGGATCTTGTGTAAGGAAAGCTGGTGCTAAAGCTGCTACTCTTCACTCCCCCCAAAAGCCAGGTACTTGTTGCTTGGCTCCCCTATCTCCAGATCCTTCTCCTTTTCCATTGGTGCTAGCTCAGTTTACCTCAGTACTATTACTTGCAGTTTCAGTTTCTCCTTTCCTTACTTGAAACCATATGCAGAATTTAATGGAAGGGCTCTGGGCAGTATGCTGCTCTGGACTGAAGGCAACTAGGAGTGACTTACTGCATCCCATGATCACCACAGGATCCCTGATTTGGGCACTATATCCATATTTGTCTGAAGTGATTATTTGATGGAACCCTATTGGTGTTCATGTAAATTCTGAGTAACTTGCTGTGACTCATTGTCAATATGCAAGAGGACGTTTTGGTAGTTCCTGTGATCCAGATACATGCCAGCATCTTATCAATTAACTGCATTTAGTGCTGGAGGTTAAGCAACCCTCACACAAACACTAATAGGACTCTAGTCATGTACTTGCATGGCCTTTAAGTTAATCTGCAGTCTAGTTTCCCATTGAGAAAAATTAGCAGAAGTAAGCCTTGGAAGTTTTCCAGAAAACCCTCCATTCTGATAAAAATCAATCCATATATTTCTGAGTGCGTTTGGTTACTGATCTCAGAAAAAAAGAAGTTCAAACAATATATGAAGCAATAGCTCTTTCTCTTCAGCTAGTTGTGATGTGGTGGCGCTGCGGGTTAAACCGTAGAAACCTCTGTGCTGTAAGGTCTGTAGATCTGCAGCTGTAAGATCGAATCCATGTGATGGAGTGAGCGCCCATCGCTTGTCCCAGCTCCCGCCAACCTAGCAGTTCGTAAACATGCAAATGTGAGTAGATAAATAGGGACCACCTCGGTGGGAAGGTAACAGCGTTCTGTGTCTCAGTCACACCAGCCATGTGACCACAGAAGATTGTCTTCGGACAAACGCTGGCTCTATGGCTTGGAAACAGGGATGAGCACTGCCCCCTAGAGTCGAACACGAGTGGACAAAAATTGTCAAGGGGAACCTTTACCTAATTGTGATTTAGTTAGGATGGGGTGTGTGTGAGAGAGGAAAAAAAACCAATCACAGTACTTAGGCAGACAATAAAA